GCAAAATACAATCATAATCATAAAAGATATGATAAGAGATTAAGAAAACTTCACTAAATATGAAAAGAAGCAAAGATCCAATCACAAATCATAAACAAAGAGAGTTTTGCATCAAAGGGGAAAAGAGCAAATCAAAATTTAGGTTATTTTTGGCCTAAGAACATATTTATAGGTCTTTAAAAAGGTACTGAGGTTGACCCAAAAGAAACCGGGTCGGATCCGGGTCAAACCAGGAAAGTCAATGAAAATTCATAAAAGTCAACTGTACGTGACCACTTGGTGTTGCTTCAATCGGTCAGGAAGCCAAGTGAGAATCATATCCAAAAAATAAGAGGCATTTTGGTAGCTTCACGTGGAGTCATTTCACTCGGTCAAGACCAAGTGGTCGTGCACTCAGGTTGCTTCAATCGGTTTTGACCAAGTGGTCATGTATGCTCGGCCAAATCTTCATTCCTTTGCATTTTTGGCTTATCCTTCCATATCCATTGCATCTTCCAAGCCTCCAATGAAATTCTTTACCTTCAAGAATTCCAAAAAGACCTAAATCAAACCAAAACAAGAACCAAAATGCACAAATACATTTCTTAACTCTAAGATGCATATAATCTCTAAAATGAGACTAAAATGATATAAATGTGATGCAAATGCTATGAAGTGATGGATAATTGGTGATGAAAACATGAGTTTAATAGTGTAAAAACACCAAATATCAGTTCCGTAGCTCGGAGATCTTTCTTTTAGAATCAACTTTCATGATATTTGCAAAGTGAATAGCTTAAACATGTTAAACTAATTAGTACATATGGGGATATACATATGATAAAAATCAACATATAGATCTTAACTAATATTCAACGAAATGTAATTTGAACTTTTGTAGTATGAAAGGGAAGGGCGTGGAAACTGAAGGAGATGGAGCAAGGAAACGAGAGAGAGTGGGGACTTGGAAGTAGTTGGGCAAACAAGAAACATGTAAGTGGTCCGATGCATTTATGATCTTGAACATGCACACGCTTGCATAAGATCCTTACTGTAATGTTTTTATCTTCTTTGCTTTGTGGCACATATTATTGTGAATTTGTGATGGAGTGGAAGCGATAGAAAAATTGGTAATTTTGTGGATTTCTCGAAATAATCGAACGACAAATCTCTTTTTCTTTTCTATTTGGTTGATTTACGATTGAATGCCGAAACAAACGTTTGAGAATACTATTCTGTTAAACATGATTTGTAAGGGCATTTATAACCCATCACTATTTTTTTTTCTAAACTCTATTTTAGAATAAAATTTATTCTAACCCACATCTATTTCTATTTCTAATATAGAGAAAATTATACCATTCCTCTATATAGAGGAAAAAGTGGATAATTGCTACTCCCCCCGTTTCAAAATATAAGTTGTTTTGGAAGTTTTTTTTTGTTTCAAAATGTAAATTGTTTTGACAATCCTAGGTACTTATTAACTTTATTGAATATTGTGTGACAACTAGTATTTTGCAGTCTTTTGTGTGATTGGTCAAATTATTTTTATTAAATATATTAAATAATACTTTTTAGTGAAAAATAGTTTCTTAATATCCGCATTTTTAGCTAAAACAACTTACATTTTGAAACAGAGGGAATATTTTTTTTCTATTTTAGAGCAATTTTTTTAAAATAGAGATACATTGAAAAGTAAATAGAGGAATGCTACAATTTTTTTCTATTTTAGAGTCAAAAATAGAGAAACACATTAAAGATAGATCTAATAGAGCTCAAAACAATCATTTGTCAAAAACAAGGCTAGCTAGTATTAGTCCGTTCTTGTTCCAACAAGATTGAGTCTAGCCCTGTTGGTTAATAGAAGAAAAATATATAAAGAGCTGGGAATTAGTTCTCAACGTTTCCAAGTATTTGTGCCAAATTTTAGATATACATTTTTTTTGTTGAATAGATCATGGCATTTTAAATACAAATACTATCCAAATAACATAAATGCGTAGATTGTAAAACAGGTGTGCATGCGATATGTATCTAGTACACGCTCGTGTGACTCCCGACAAATCTTGGAATGTAGCGAATGTATATGGCCCAAACATCTATTATACGTGACGAGTGAGGCCAAAAGCCAACGCAGAGGAGAGAAAGCAAAAAGACCAATTTCACGTAACCCATACCGTACCTTAAACACATGCACGTGTGATATATATATTTTTTTTATAAACTGTGGGAGTTCTGAATCTTTGACTTATAATCTTTTCACTATCCGGTTGCATTCTTTGGATATTCCGATTTAAAAAATATCCCTCCGTACCAAAGAGAATTTGAACCCGGGGCACAAGGGAACCAACTCCTTTGTGTTACCAGTAGGTCACTACACCTTTGGTAACATGTATTTTTTTATAAACATGTATTCTTTTTATAAACATCCAAAAATTGTATGAATTTCTGGGAAAATACATGTATTCAGACTATTTATGAGCTATCACCTACATGTATTTAGGCTTTTTTATAATTTTTTTTATTTCGAAAATATCATTACAGATTTACAGCAGATAAACTTTAAAAAAATTTGGAAAAGTTTTTGTCCACTTTATCAAAAAAAAAAAAGCTTTTGTCCATATAGAAAGAAAACACATAAATAAAGTCTAAATTGTACAGAATAGACCGCTAAATTGGTACTACGACCACAGACATGCTTGGCCATAGCAACGAAGACGTACGACCACAAAAAGCTTGGCTTGTATGGCAAATACAATTAATGGCATGAATGGTAAGACATCAAACTATAATAATGATAAAAGATGTAATATTAATAAAAGAGTTAATGAAAATAACATGTGTTTATTTGGTAATATTATCAATACATTTTTAGTAGCAAAAAAAAAAAAACACTATCAATACATGTAAAACAAAATGATATCAGTAATGCCACTCAATAATCCAAAGAAAATATATTTAACTTGGAAAGCCACAAAATTAACGCTGATTGGCGTTAGTTTTTTTTGTTTCCACAAATTAAATCCAGTAACATGTACTAAATATTAAATGTGACGTCTTTAAC